TGAATATAAAATCGAATAAGTTACTATGTCAAAATAAATAATAAGTATAATAATATAAAGTATAATAAAAGTATAATAAAGGATAATGATAGATACATTTTTATTTTTAATTATATTTTATTTTATTGTTAAATTTTCTGACAGAAACAATCTTCAAATGATGTTAAAAACGGTTATTGGTTGGATGTTCGAGGATGCTGGCAAGTTTCACCGGAAAAATTGCGTCCGTGAACGTTGATGTTTTTAGGATCTTTTCATTTCTCTTTTTTTTTCAGATGCTACCGCGATGTGCTTATTAAATAGCCGCGTGTACTCGAGTGTATGCCGAGTCGTGTAATATAGCAAAGCCGAATATTTTAACGTAATAAGTTGCACATGCTATCCGTAATGCTTGTGTGCGGAAACGGCGAATTCGGATTCTCGTCGTGGCAGCGAAACACGACTGCGTCTGATGATTCGCGCGGATCATGCGACATTATGACAAACACAGGAAAAAAATATAGTATTCCAAAATAATTTACATATAGAACGCGAGAGCGAGAGAGAGAAAGAGAAAAAAGAAAGATTATCATTAGTCTTTCAGTATTCTCTTTCTTTCTATACAAGGATATAATATATTTTAAAAATGTTCACTGTGAACAAGATACACCAGCTCTTTGTTCGCGTCGCGAGTGCACTCCCATTAAATCTCGCAGAAGCTGAAAGGTTAGAGTGGAAAGCGCGATAACGATCGATTGGAGGTTGCCCGCGAGTTGGATGCATGCGGAAAAGATATTCTTTTTTGGAGAACCAGCGTAGAATAAATACATAGATCCATCGAGAAAAGCGTGCGCTCTTTAACATATATTCATTCATATTCATTCAAATTAATCGGGAAAGGTATTTTCTGAAGAATATATCATAAATACTTCGAATCGATCGTCCGACCGTGATAATAATCGACGTTGTAACCCAATATCAAGATTGATTTCATAGCTCACTGGGATTGACGATGTTGACTGCGAATGCCGAGTTCGTTTCACCTTTCTGGCCGATCGCACGTGCCACATATTGACCGACGTCACTCGCCGTGCATGTTTTGATGCCAAACTCGAAGGACATATTGCTGTCTGAACTGAAGTGATATCTACTACTCGTCTCAGGGATTGCCTTGCCATCTTTCAACCAAGTCACTGGAAAATTTTTAACATAATTCAATTTACTGATAAAAAAGAAGATTCAGATAAGAATCATTATAAGGATAAAAATTTATATTTCTATCTAGATAAGCTGTCAAACATAAACAAGAATATTTCGTATATATAATTAATTATAAAGTATATTTTATGAAAAATTTTGTTGGATTTAAAAAAATTACTTAAATATTATTTGAATATAATAAATAATTTAAAATTAGTAGTGCTCAGTCTACATTCGATGTCCTTGCTATGTAAAATCATTTTACCTTTCAAAGGCGCAGTATCAATCTTGCACATGAAAGTAACCGATTCGCCTTCACTCACTGTTGCAGACTGTGGGAATATCGCGAATGCTGGGCTTTTCGGTTCTTCGTTTGGAGCTGGAAGACATATGGAATGAATGAAATGAAAAGTAAAGACAAGTAAAGATAGGAAAAGTAAAGATTAAGATAAGAAAGGAAATAGAATTAAAAGTAAAATTAAAAGTAAAATCGAAATGAGGAACAAAGGTCGTCTTCGCCAATTTTTCTGTGATACGGTTGATAATAACTAGCCGATTTCTCATCGAGTATGCTTAACGTGCACAACGAGTAGCTCTCTCCTACATCGTTGAAAGCTTCGCACGTGTAAGTGCCGGAATCCTCGGAGAATATCTCGGCAATAACTAGCTTGTAGATGTTTGCTTCATTAGTGTATTGGAAATCTTTGCTAGGCTTAATCTTCTTATTGTTGTGCAGCCACACTACATCGAACTTTTTCGCACCGATTATTCGGCAACTGAGTGTCACAGCCTCGTCTTTCATATACTTGCTTGTTAAATGGTTCACGATCTTCGGCGATTTGTCATCGCTCTGTTTCTTCCCAGCAGCGTTCTCCATGGCTAAAAACAAATCGGATTAAGCATGATATATCTTTCTATGTTTTTTTAACATTAAAAGTTTCTATGTGTGATTTTTATTTTCATCATTTTTATCTTTTAAAATATTTTTTTTGTTAAAGATACGGTTTTGAAATTTTCTTTTTGTTAATTATATTCTTTATTCTAATGGAATATTGAAGTCAGAAAATATTGTAAAATTTTATTCTTTATATTATAAAATAAATGTTAATTTAAAGAAATAGAAAGATAAAAAAACAATTGATATTTCTAATCCTTAGAGATATGACATAGTAAAGCGATATACTAACGAATAAGTTCTTTCGTGGTGCTCCTGGATCGAGATGGACTGCCAGTAGAGTCAAGTTTCGAGCCATATTTTTTTATGTTTCGCTTATCAGACGTATCGCTGATTTTAACACTATCCTGAAATTATATATTTAAAAGCATGTCAATATTGTTTTTTATTCTTATCGAGAGTCCTTATTTGATTTTATTTTTAAAAAGTCTTATGAATACTCGCATCTGTACTTTTAATTATTTTAAGAGATTTTTCATCTCTGCCGACTTAAAAAAATCGCTAATGATTAATATAAATATATTATATTATTTCGTGTATATACTTTATATGATGAAAATCGTTGTGGAATTCTGTTTGCCATTATATGAAGAAGTGGAGTATCCCAAATTACAACTTACCATGTCATAAACATTAAGAATGATTGGCTCACACGCCATTTTTGGAATCAATTCCTCACTTTCTTGTGGATAACCAAACAATTGGGGAAGGAGAGATTACAGTTAAGGCCTGACGAAAACATCATTGGGGAAAGTTTGTAAAATCCACACAGGGTTAAAGTTGATTATTAATATTCTATTATACCTAATAAATAAACATGTAATCTTATTATTTCATATATTCTATATATATATATAT